TAAATAAAAATAAAAGTTTGGGTTACATAGATTAGAAAAGCACTGAAGACACAGCAAAAACAAAAGTCAACATTCCAGAGTCACCCCCTCACTCCCATGGCAGCTAGAGGCCTAGCTGACAGCCACCTCTGGATTGGGAAATTCCTGGAGGCTGGGGGGGCACAGAATTTGGGGAGAGGAGGGAGCTCAGCAAAGATGCGATGCCAGAAAAGAATCCGCCCTCTGGAGTCACCATGTTCTGTCGCCCGGAGATCAGCTGTAACTCCAGGAGACATCAGGACCCACCCGGAGGTTGCAACAAATGGGAGACTCTCAGAAAGAAAAACTAAACAGAATTATATACCCTGAAAAAGTACTATGGAATTTTTGTGATTATGTTATCATATCTGGCTATACGTATATTCAGGAAGGAAACTGAGGCTGCGGGTGCACACACTAAATCAGGGGTGTCAAACATGTGGCCCGGGGGCCAGATCAGGCCCCCGGAGGGCTTCTATCAGGCCCGCAGTGGAACTGGCTGTCTTCTGCTTCTTCTTCCAGTTCTGCTGCTGCTGCGTCATCGTAGGTTTGCAGCTTACAGATACACACCTGAATGGCACACTCAAGATCGCAACAGCACAGACATTTCGATGCCATAATTCAGAGCCAGGGGTGTCCGTTATCAGACACTGTTAAATAAACAAAATGTTGCCAGAGTGCTAATGTTTTAAGCATGATTTTATTTTAAGTAAAAAAAACAACACCTTTGTGTTTGTGTCCTTTATAAAGTTTATGTCTCTGCTAGCTGGTGTTACATTGTATGACACACGTGGCCCGGCCCAACAAGGCCTCATTTATGTCAGATCCGACCCTCGTAACAAATGAGTTTGACACCCCTGCTCTAAATAATCCACTTTTAATGCACTTTCCAAATGAACATAAGAACATAATGTTGGATCAGGCCAAAGGCCCATCCAGCCCAACACTCTGTATCACACGGTGGCCAGAAATACCAGGTGCCATCAGGAGTCCACCAGTGGGGCCAGGACATTAGAAGCCCTCCCACTGTTGACCCCCCCCCAAGCACCAAGAAGACAGAGCATCACTTGCCCCAGAGCCCCTATCTATACCTTGTGGCTAATAGCCACTGATGGACCTCTGCTCCATATGCTTATCTAATTCCCTTTTGAAGCCGTCCATGCTTGTAGCCGCCACCACCTCCTGTGGCAGTTAATTCCATGTGTTAATCACTCTTTGGGTGAAGAAGTACTTCCTTTTATCCATTCTAACCCGACCGCTCAGCAATTTCATGGAGTGCCCACGAGTTCTTGTATTGTGAGGAAGGGAGAAAAGTACCTCTTTCTCTACCTGCTCTTTCCCATGCATAATCTTATAAACCTCGATCATGTCACCCCTCAGTCCTCAGTGGATTTTGCAAGTTCACACAGGTAAAAACGTGGATTGAAAGTGGATTATTGAGCGTGTGTAACCACAGCTTGATGCAAGGTCATATTTACATTCTCAATCATTTCATGTATGTATAGTGAGAGGTACCCTACAGACCTTTAAGGCATTATACTTTAGATCTTTGCGCTTGCAAGAATTTTGAATGGATGTTTGGTGAGCGAATGATGCTGCTTATAAAGATTTAACTTTGACATTGTTACTGTTATAGAATAGTTTTGCATACTGTATCTTGTTATAGGAAGAATGGAAATGTAGGACAGAATTCTGTTCTGGCCAGTGTTACCTCTAAGCTGAGTCAGTGTGAGCTATCTCACAGTTGTTTAGCCTCCGGCACACACATTTTTGTCTTAGCTCGGAGAGGAGGGCTCCAGAGCAAACTAATTTACGCCGTAGCCAAATCGCTCGCTCACAATTTTAATGCCAGGAGCTCACAGAGTAGAATTTTTGCTCACAAGACTGCACAGCTTAGAGGGAACACTGGTTCCGGCTTTGGAAAAGTTTGTGAAGGAAACGGAACCGTAGGTTCGCAGGCTCCGTTAGACGGAACAGGGGTGTCCGTCTACTGTCCCCTTTATGAAAGAATATACGGCCAAGTCTCGTCGAATTTAGAAGTCTGTGAAGGAGACGTTAAAAGAATTAGTTTCTAACAGGACGACGCACTTTGACTCCGTTTGAGAACTCACGTGTTGACTGACTTACTGAAGATCATATTACGTACTACGGACATATGACATAAATTTGATATGAGAGACTATGTAACGAATTTGTAAAGATAGCAATTTTTCATAGTAATTTTTCATGGTATATGATCTGTTGGAGAGGCTGAGGTGGGGGCAGAGGCGTAAATCTCGACTGTTATGCAGAGAAGTTCATCAAGAAAGGGGGAGAAGTGTTCTTCTCGTTAGAAACACTGTGGTGGAGCGGTTAAGAGTATCGGGCTAGAATCTGGGAGATCCAGGTTCGAATGTCCACTCCGTCTCTAGTTCGGTGTAGCAGTGAGGAGCGCAGACTCTAATCTGGGAGAACCGGGTTCGATTCCCCACTCCTCCACATGCAGCTGCTGGTGTGACCTTGGGTCAATCACAAGTTCTCTCAGAGCTGTCCTCTCAAGAGCAGTCCTCTCTTAGCCCCACCTACCTCCCAGGGTGTCTGTTTTGGAAAGAGGAAGGGAGAGGAGATTGTAAGCTGCTCTGAGACTCTGAGTGAAGGGTGGGGTATAAATCCAATCTTCTCGCTCTGAGACATCTTTGGGTAGTGAAGGGTGGGGTACAAAACCAACTTCTTCTTCTTCTTCTTCTGCCATGGAAGCCTGCTGGGTGACCTTGGACAGGTCACACTCTCAGCCTAACCTACCTCACAGGGTTGTTGTGGGGATAAACACAGACAGGGAGGATGAAGCCCCCCCCCCGGTCCCCGTCGGGGCGAGCGGCGAGTACAAATGAAGTCAGTAAAAATAAATCTTGCATACAGACTTTATTTTAAATGGTTTTTTGCTGGCACTTTTTAACGTTTGCCACCTTGGAGGCCCCATTTGTGTGGCTTAGAGACGTTTTAAAGAAATAAAACGTCAGTTTGGTGTAGTGGTTAAGTGCGTGGACTCTAATCTGGGAGAACCGGGTTTGATTCCCCTACTCCTCCACTTGCACCTGCTGATGTGACCTTGGGTCACTCACAAGCTCTGGCACAGGTTGTTCTAGAACTCTCTGCATTTGATATCTGCCGGTTTGGTGTCGTGGTTAGGAGCGGGGACTCTAACCTGGGAGAACTGAGTTTGATTTCCCACGCCTCCACTTGCAGCCAGCTGGGTGACCTTGGGTCAGTTACAAGTTCTCTCAGAATTGTTCTCTCAGGAGCAGTCCTCGAAGGAGCTCTCTCAGCCCCACCGACCTCACAGGGTGTCTGTTGTGGGGAGGGGAAGGGAAAGGAGATGGTAAGCCGCTCTGAGATTCCTTCAGGTACTGAAGGGCGGGGTATGAATCCAATCTCCTCCTCCTCCTCCTCCTCCTCCTCCTCTTCTTCTTCTTCTTCTTCTTCAGTTGAACTCTAATTCCAGGGGATCCCCAGGGCCCGCCTGGAGGCTGCCACCCATAACCGGGCGTCATCTCAGCCCCTGCAAGAAGCACCCTTTCACTGCCCCAACAGGGGGAATTAAATGCATTTTTCATCTCTGCACTGAGTGGCCAAGAACACTCCCAGAAACAGAAGGACAGGCACTGCTGAGACGGCTGACTCAGCAGCCGTGGGAGGGGCTGCTTTCTGGAACGACCCCCCTGCCCCCCCGCCCCACCACTGCCGGGAAGGAGAGCGGCTCTGCGTGAGCAGTCAAGGGTGGCGTTAACAGAAGAAAGCCCCGATTGTAAGGCGCAGGGCGTGGGGCACAGCCTCTCCTATTCAGAGGACTTTGGTACTGCGGAGTGCCAGGGCACGTTGCCCGGGTGCCGGTTTCCCGAGCACGGTTCCCGCACGCTCAAAAATGGAAGGGGAGAGGGGTCCCCCCCCCGCCATGCTCCCTCTAAGCCAAGGGTGTCCAACTCATTTGTTACGAGGGCCGGATCTGACATAAATGAGACCTTGTCGGGCCGGGCTGTGTGTGTGTCATAAAAGGTAACGCCAGGTAGCGGAGATATCAGCTTTATAAAGGACACAAACACAAAGGGTTGTGTTTTTTTTTAACTTAAAATAAAAACATGCTTAAAACATCAGCACTCTTGCAAAGTCCAACCCCCTGTACTCTGCAGGAGCATAGCCGAAAGATAGCCCTACATACCTACAACATACCCGAAAGATGGTAATCCAGCCTCCGCTTGAAAACGTCCAGCGAAGGAGCAGCCACCACCTCCAGAGGCAGACTATTCAACCACTCAACCACTCTTACAGTTAGGAAGGTTCTCCTGATATTTAGCCAGTAACGACTCCCTTGTCATTTCCACCCATTAGACCTAGTCTTACAATCCGGAGCAAGAGAGCATAGATCTGCTCCATCTTCTACGTGACAGCCCTTCAAATACTTGGAAGACTGCAGTCATGTCCCCTCTAAGCCTTCTCTTTCCCAGGCTAAACAGACCCAACTCTTTCAGCCTTTCCTCATAAGACTTGGATTCCAACCGTGTCACCATCCTGGTTGCCCTCTTGAGTGTGCTGTTCGGGTGTGTTATCTGTAAGCTGCAAACCTACGATGACACGGCAGCGGCAGCAGAACTGGAAGAAGAAGCAGGAGACACCCAGTTCCACTGCGGGCTTGATAGAAGACCTCCAGGGGGGCCTCATCCGGCCCTCGGGCCACATATTTGACACCCCTGGTCTAAGCTGTGGAGTCTTGTGAGCAAAGATTCTACTCTGTGAGCTGTGGGCATTAAAGTCATGAGCAGGCGGTTTGGCTGCTCCATCAATTAGTTTGCTCTGGAGCCCATCCTTCCTAAGACAAACAGGTGTGAGCCGGAGGCTAAAAAACAGTGAGCTAGCTCACACTAACTCAGCTTAGAGGGAACACTGGTTCCCCTGCACCTGCTACACCACAAGGTCAGACTGGGGGGGGGGATCTGAGGGGTCGGTACCTGGCGGGAAGTTCCATCCGGAGAGCCAACGATTCCGCGCGGAGCTTGCGGGCGCCCAGCATGAAGGATTTTTCCAGGAGTTTGTTATCTGCAAGAAGGGGGGAGGAAAGGAGGCTGAGAAAAGAAAGATCAAGCCGATGAAGGATCTTTTCGCCCTCCCCTCTGTAGACGTCGTTGGGCATGTGGGCCTACCCGTGGGAGGGGCCACAGCTCAGTGGCAGAGCCTCTGCTTGGCATGCGGAAGGTCCCAGGTTGGCGTAGTGGTTAAGTGCGCAGACTCTACTCTGGGAGAACCGGGTTTGATTCCCCCACTCCTCCAGCTCAGGAAACGATCCATATACAAAAGAACCTCCTCAGGAAAGCTCCTCCATTAGCATGTTTCACAGCCTGGGGAACTCCTACAAGGTAATGACTCAGCCCTACCCCACCTTCCTGAGTAGATATAAATGACCTGCCTACCAATTTGCCTACCATGATTGAAGGTCAAAGAAGACGGGGACGGCAAAGGATGAGATGGTTAGACAGTGTCATAGATGCAACGAACATGAAATTGAGCCAACTTCAGAGGACGGCGGAAGACAGGAGGGCCTGGCGGGATCTGGTCCATGGGGTCGCGAAGAGTCGGACTCAACTGTGCGACTGAACAACAACAACAACAAACCATTTTTCTTCTTCTCACCTTGACACAGAGAGTACTCCATCTTTCTGTGTTATACCTCTGAGGATGACAGTCACAGCTGCTGGCAAAGCATCAGGACCTACAATGCCAAGACCACGGCCACACAGCCCGGGAAAAATCTGCAACAGCTAATGATTCTTGAAGCGTCGGAACACAAAACCCCGATAAAACCGTCAACTGCAAAGCAAACTCTGCCACGCCACAGCAATAAACACCAAACGGGAGGAGCCACCTTTTCCCTCACGCCAACCTCCAGGAAGAACTTTCCAACCTTTGTTTTCTGGTTGGAGGACCCTCCCCCCCACTCCAAATGTTGGGAGAAAGGGCAGATTCAAAACATTATCGTCGAGGGGTCCCCAACCTTTTTGAGCCGTCGGGCACCTTTGGAATTCTGACACGGGATGGTGGCCACAACCACAAAATGGCCACCGTGGGAGGCGACGCCAGACACAAAATGGCTGCCGCAGCTGTCCTTCGATCACACAGTGAAGATCCTTGTGCTGTGATGGCAGCTGCTGCGAAAGCAACATTTTTAAAATATATATACGTATATCTGCACAGCCAAGCAAATCTCTAACGGTCACTCAGGAGATTGACCTGGCCCCTCCTCACATTCTAAAAATGCTTGGCGGGCGCCACATTGGGGACCTCTGTAATACACCGAAGAGCCAACCCTGTGGGGGGGAAACAGGTGGGGTCAATTCTAGGACCAAATGGGTTCAAGCGTATAACCAAAGGTTATCACAGAAGAGGACAAGAATATAACACCATTACAAGATAGGAATCAAATATTCAGATACAAAATGCAGAACGCTTCTGTCTGGTGACGCTTAGAATGTCCACAGAGCTACCGGCATATAAAGCATTTCACATTTATTACCTCAGTACCTCTCACAACAGCCCTGCAATGTAGGATGATATTTTTATCCCCATATTGCTGATAGAAGGATTGAGGCATGGTGTCTTGCCGTAAGAACATCACAAGAGCCCTGCTGGATCAGACCAGAGAGGGTCCATCTAGTCCAGCATCCCGTCTCACACAGGGGCCAGCCAGTTCCTCTGGAGGGCCAGCAACAGGGCATGGAGGCCGAGGCCTTCCCCTGAGAAGAACCTCAGAAGAGCCCTGCTGGATCAGACCAGTGAGGGTCCATCTAGTCCAGTATCTTGTCTCACACAGTGGCCAGTCAGTTCCTCTGGAGGTCCAGCAACAGGGCATAGAGGCCGAGGCCTTCCCCTGAGAAGAACCTCAGAAGAGCCACAGATCTTCTTGAAGTCCTCTGCTACTGGAATCCTGTTCTATTACACCTCATTTTTATCCCACAGCATCTATGTCTCATCCTTACTACAACCCTGTGAGGTAGGCTAGGCCGAGCAACAGAATAAAGGTCCCGAGCTCTCGAAGGCTCCTTCCTGGTAAATAAAGGGAGGGGTGTGAAGATCAATTCCCATAATAGCACTATAGGTCTCGTGACAGTCTAGATAGGTAGGCAGACGTAGACACAGATATAAAGCAAATTTTTAAATCACTTCTTATCCTATGAAGAGGAAATGGAGTTTAGGTAATCCGGGAGAAGAAAGAACTGCCCCTTGCTGTGGAAAAGCACCGTGAGAAAGGGGCATTCCAGTGACATCAGCTGTGTTTGGTGCCAAGGTGATTTATTACTCCTTCCGATAAAAGGCACCGCAGGAAGATCAAACAAAATTAAATTGGAATACCTGTTGTCAGATAGGAATCATCATACATCAAGACAGGTGGCTAGGTTCTGCGCCCAGGTATATAAGGAACGCAGAAAGCGAAGCAAATAGACCATCTCTCTACCTTTTAACGAAAATGACTTTAAACTGACTTTTTAAATGGTTTAAAAGGTTTGAACAGTAGTTTCACTTCTTTCCTTTACATTCTATGCAACTTATAAGCTTTTGTGTTACTAAGGGTTTTTTCCTGGCTCACAACCAGCCAGGATACTGTCGGGAATTTTTCTTTTTGTCTTTCAAACTGATACGTACTGGTTGATGACTGTAATAACAAACTGAACGACCGAGGCACGGCGGATTCCAAACGCAAGGCCAGAATCGAGGGGGTTTCCTGCACGTCTAACCTCTGACAGGTAAAACAAAGGCTCTTTCAAGAGACAGGCCAAGATCCAGGAAGGGAATGTTTCTGGCCAGCCCTTCTCGGATGTGCTCTAACCGTTGGCCCGGATCCCATGTCTCGAATTCCAGTCGCGGCAGCATTTCCCTACGGCGCAAGACGACTTCTACTGACGCACCGGAGTAAAACATCCACTGTTGGCAAAACGGCTTGCTTGAAAGTTATTCGTGTTAATACCTCTTGCATTATGTAAGTGTGCGATTTCTTAAGAGACCCTGGATTAAGGAGGCCGCTTTTGAAAGAGCTGTAAGAGGACTCACCTCCTGTAGAGATACTGGGCTACAAGGAGGTTTCTTCCAGCTGCCGAGGTGGTGGAGTCGATGGAGTCTCGCCAGGGCGACGATGTGGGGGGAAAAACGTGAAGCAAATTTTGAACTCTTCACTGATCCCTTTGGAGAGATTTATGTAAGATTCCAGCACTACCCAGGGCAGAGTAGATGGTGGGGTTTGGGCAGGCAGAATTTGTGTAGGTCCTGCTGTTTCCCAGATGGCCTCCTTTGGAAGTGTACCACAACACTCACCTCTTCAGTTTTTTCCAGGACAGTTGCAGGAAGGCCATAAGAACACCAGAAGAGCCCTGCTGGGTCAGACCAGAGAAGATCCATCTAGTTCAGCCTCCCGTCTCACACAGGGGCCAGCCAGTTCCCCTGGAGGGCCAACAATGGGGAATAGAGACCGAGGCCTTCCCCTGATAAGAACACCAGAAGAGCCCTGCTGGATCAGACCAGGGGGGATTCGTCTAGTCCAGCCTCCCGTCTCACACAGTGGTCAACCAGTTCATCTGGAGGGCCAGCAACAGGGAAGAGAGGCCAAGGCCTTCCCCTGATAAGAACCTCAGAAGAGCCCTGCTGGATCAGACCAGGGAGGGTCCATCCAGTCCAGCATCCTGCCTCAGACAGTGGCCGACCAGTTCCACTGAAGGGGCAACAACAGGGCAGAGAGGCCGAGGCCTTCCCCTGATAGGAACCTCAGAAGAGCCCTGCTGGATCAGACCAGTGAGGGTCCACCTAGTCCAGCCTCCTGTCTCACACAGGGGCCAGCCAGTTCCTCTGGAGGGCCAACAACAGGGCAGAGAGGCCAAGGCCTTCCCCTGATAAGGACCTCAGAAGAGCCCTGCTAGGTCAGACCAGTGAGGGTCCACCTAGTCCAGCATCCTGTCTCACACAGGGGCC